CCAATCTCTAATTACATCATATCATGGATTAAAATTGTCAAATTATAGAAAATATTGTGGCAAAATGTTGTAACATACAAAATAATGAGACTTAAAGTAACAAATATTAAAAAAAATGAATCAATCTCTAATTAAAATGACAACATTATTTTAATATTATTTATTTGAAGTTGAAGTATCAAAACATGTTCATGTACATCCTAACATCCATATTGGATGTAATGTAGACTTGTGTTGTCCACACACTTGATGACGACTTAGATATCCACTAATGACAATATGATGTTACGAATGACATTCTAGAACACATACATGCGTAGGACATTGTAAACGCTTTAGGCCTTCCGGTATGGTAAGCATTTTCACGCGCGTCATGGCTGATGTGGCGGACTTTTCCGCGCGTGAAGACCGCCCCCAAGGGGCGTAGGTGTGGTGTGGCATGGATCCGGCTACGAGCGACCACGAGAAATTTGATTGGTTAATGCTATTCGACCGTTCTCCTTGTGTATTGACCGGAGAGATATTTATATTTAGTTAAATGGTTTAAAAGGAGGTTTATTGAAGCTTTGAGATTTTGTAATGGCTAACGAGAGTGAAGAAGGAAACCAGAACGTAAACGGGTTTAAAAAAGGATTGATATTTGCTTTTAACTAAAGTTACCACAATGGTCCTTAGAATGTATCTTCTAATTTTATTACACCCTTCCACTTATGTTTAAACTAAGTTAAATCATCAACTATATATAATAATTATATATATATTTTTATTTTGTTTAGTAATTATTTTTTTAATTTAGTCTAATGTCAAAAAAAATTAAAAAAGAAAAAGAAAAATGATGTGGAGTGGTAACCCTTTCCAAGGGTTAGTGGTTTGGTAGTGAGTTTGTAGTAGAGCTGATATGATGCTGATGTGATGTTACTTTTTAAGTGAGTTGAGTGTGATCTTACCCGTTAGCCTTATAAGGTCTCATGCTTAATAGTTCACATGCTACCTAAATGATTACGAATGACGTTAAAGCCTTTATGTTGTAATGTAATTTGTGTTATTTCTATTTATGCTTCTTAAATAGTTTTTCCCTACGAGCTATTGTTGAAACTCCTTAAAAAATACAAGACAATTAAGACGTGATGTGATAATATATTTTGTGTTGTTGCAATGTTTTTGTTTTTCAAAAATATATAGTTTAGAGGCTTTTAATTTTTAACTGACATTTCACATTTGAAGTTTAGAAATTTATAAATTATGTTTAAGAGGTTTTACACAAAACACATAAGAAATTATTATTTTAAAAGGAACCTAATAATAACTAACAAATTACTACTGTTTACCCAACTATACATTTAATTTTGTTTATACTTTGACTATTAGTCAAAAACTTCTTTTTATTTGATCTCCAATTTCTCGGTTATTGGTTCAAAAAATAATTAATTTTAATCTTAGTAAAAAATAGTAAAATACATACTAAAAAATCTTCTCCATATGGGAATACGGAATAAGTAAAATTGTTCTAATTTTTACCTTTGACTTCGAATTTTCCAAATATATTTTTTTGTTTAATATATACATTGATTGTTATAAGTTATTATCTCAAAAAGTTCCCACTTTAGAGATATTTTCACTTTTTCTATATTTTTAAACAAAATACTAATATATATATATATATATATATATATATATATATATATATATATATATATATGGTGTGCGCGGCGCGGTTTGGTGCAGTTTATAGTCAAAATCACAAACCGCAACGCATATACGGTTTGAGTTATTTAGAAACCGCAAACGACACCACGAACGTTCTAAACCACATTATGCAGTGTGGTTTGGTGCGGACGATTTACATGCGGTTTGACTAATTATTTACTGTACATTTGATGACGATACTATCATTGTCGTCACTAACGGCTCACTAAATGGTCACTAAGAAATTTAGTGGTCATAGAATTGTGATCATTAACTACATACAAATATGCACAAGTTAAGTTAAGAAACATAATGAAAATCAAGATAAAATAATGGTCACTAAATGTTAGTTGAAAATGGATTTGTGATAAACAAAAATTAGTTGAAAATGGATTTGTGACAAAAAAAAAAAAAAATATGGTAACTCCTTTAAATTTGATTAGTTAAATTTCAAGAAGTATTGATTACATTTCAAATTTCAAAAACTTAGGATAATAAGATGACTTGATATATATATATATATATATATATATATATATATATATATATATATATATATATATATATATATATATATATATATATATATATATAACACGGTGCGGTTTAATTGATTTTATCAATGCGGTGCGGGTTAAACCGTAATTTTGTAATCGTAAACTGCAAACTGCACCACATAATTAATGTTGTTTAACAAAAATACAAACCGCAAACCGCACTGTAAGTGTTTTAAACGACGTTATGCGGTGTTGTTTGTGTGGTTTATTGCACATCCCATATATATATATATATATATATATATATATATATATATATATATATATATATGTGGTTAGGTTCATGTGAGACGGCTTAATTTTGTGTGACCGTGAGATGCATTTCTTAAATTTTTTAATTTTTTTATATTTTTAAAAAATTTTTTAGTTAATTCAAGTTCCGAAAATAATATTTAAAAAAAGATTTTTTTGATTTTTCTATTTATTTTGCATTTTAAAATTATTTTTAGAATATGTACAATGTAATATTCTATTTAGAATATTTCACGTATTTTTCAAAAAAAAAAAAATAGAATTTTTTAAAAATTTTTTTAATTTTTTTTAGTTAATTCAAGTTCCGAAAATAATATTTAAAAAAAGAATTTTTAGATTTTTCCATTTATTTTGCATTTTAAAATTATTTTTTAGAATATGTCAGTGTAATATTCTATTTAGAATATTTCACGTATTTTAAAAAAAAAAAACGGCATTTTCTTTTTTTTTTTTAATTTTTTTTATTTAATTTTTTATTTTTTTTAGTTAATTCAAGTTCCGAAAATAATATTTAAAAAAAGAATTTTTGGATTTTTCCATTTATTTTGCATTTTAAAATTATTTTTACATTTGATCTCACGGTTTCACAAAATTAGAATCATCTCAAATGAACCTGAACATATATATATATATATATATATATATATATATATATATATATATATATATATATATATATATATATATATATATATATATATATATATATATGCTATGTTAATAATCTAGCTATATACTCAGGTTGTTAATTTGATTTATTTATATTTTTAAATATTATTATGATTAATAGATATCTCTTAGATTATATCATCTTAATGACATCTATATCTAGTTTGTGTTTGACAAAAATTAAATATGGTTTTTTTTAATCAGTATCATCCTAGTTAACTATTATTATAATTAATAAATTAAAGTAAATTCTATGGCAGTTTTTTTTAAACTGATCATAATTATTATTTTAAATATTAATCATTCTTCAAGGTAATATAATATTGTTCTATAAATTATGTTAAACATAAATATTATTATTTTTAATTAATTGGAATAACACATTTATCTTTGGTCGTACGAGAATAAAACCAAATTTTTTTTATTTAATATCCATTTTATTGATTGCTATGGTTATATAATTTACAAATAACATTATAGTAAGTTTTTAATTTCAGTCATCATTATTATTCAAATGTGTTCTCAAGGTAACTTAGGATATATTTTAATTTTATTTTATTTATACTGCTATTAATTTTAATTAATTAAAAAAAACTAATTCTTTTGAAATTATTTGTTGTTATGAAAACAAGTTTTTTAATTTGAAATTGAGTTTTTACATTTAATATTATGATAATTTTCTTCAATTTAACAGAAATATTTAAAATAAAAAATAATTATATAGATTAATATCAATAAAGTTATAGTGTTATATTGTATTATCTTTTCCATCGAATATAAATTACTAAATTAAGGTTAAATCAAAATGTCTATAATCTAATGGTATCCATAATTTGAAGGTGGGGTCCCTCCCTCAAAGGTTCAAGTATCGTTGAATGTATTGATGTGGTTTAAGAATAAATTATGATCTCTTGAACAAATGCTAAAGATTGAAGAGTTGTCAGTAAAATAAAATTTTGATGTAGTAGTAAAAAGAGAATTTGAAAAGATATAGGTATCTGTACCAGTAAAATGAGTAGATGTTAAACACAAATCTTAATATTCAAAAAATAAATTAAAATATCTTGAAAAGGTAAATAAAATATTTTATATTAATTGGTATGGTTATTTCAAATTTTAAGAGTTCGTTATGGTGTATTAGGTCATCAGCAATGATAAAGATCATCATAGTTAATTAGTATGTATATTTGTAACTGTAATATGATCAAAATAAGTCACAATCAAGTGATAATTAAATGTTTTCCAATTAAAAAAGCTTCTGCTTTAATATTCCTATGTTTTTGCTTTGGAATATAAAAAATAAACATTATATATATATATATATATATATACACACACACACACTTCAATGTATATAATCTTACTTATCCAAACCACCATATTATGTCGTTATTTTATCATATATTGATCATAATCATCCAAAGTTCTTAAATTCAATTTGATTTATTTTCAAGATTTTTATAAATTTCAACATTATTTTTCTCTTACATAATTTTCTTTTGCAACTGTAATATATATAATTTGGTGGGTGTTCGATAAAAAGATATGATGTAAAAGAAAGATAATGGTGAAATTTCTAAACTTTTTTGAAGTAAATCAAATTCGGGGTTGAATTTTAAAAACATTAGATGATTACAATGCATATATGATTCAAAAACGATGTAGTATGATAAGTTTGTTTACGTAAATTTATATACCTTGTAAGGTTTATTCATTTTTCCATATATATATATATATATATATATATATATATATATATATATATAAAAGCTGTAGTAACCTTTGTACATAACAATTTGAAAAGAACAAAAGTCAAAGAAAAGCGAAGAAAAGGAGATGAAAATTTCGCTCAACAACCCTTTCTTGTTTTTGCTCTTGATATTTCTTTCCTCCACTTTCACAATTGGCGACTTAATCAATGAGATTTGCCAACAAACCATTGATCCTTCTTTATGTTCCAACTCTTTTCATTCAGACCCTCGATCAACCAATGCAAGTCTTATAACCCTTGGCCACATCTCCATTAAGAACGCCCAAAAGAGCGCTAAAGCTGTCAGAAAACTTATACATTCCGTCTCATATTCTGGTAACTACACAGAATGCATATCACTCTATGAAGATGCCATTGCCAACCTAAATAAATGCAAGAAAGCTCTTAAAGCACATGACTATGGAGAACTGAATACATTTGTATCTGGTGCTATGACAGATGCTAGCATGTGTGATGGTAGCTTCGGTAGAGGTGTGCAAGGGCCACCCCAACTCAAGTTTGCTAGCATAAAGTTACAAGGTTTATGCAATATAATATTAGTCATTTCAAATAATTTATCAGGAATCAATATGTCTGTTTGATTTTGTATGATTGTAACTTGATTGATGCAATTTGGTTATGAACTATGATTTGATTTTTAATTGTTGGTTGTTGTGATATTCTTATTTAGTTATTTATTATTTATAAATATAAACAATTCTTGTCCAAAATTAATTGCAATCAATGAATTGACAAAAAGAGTGTAAAAGCATTGATAAAAAGTAATCCAAATGACGGCATTTAATTTTGAAATTTTGTTTTTTAGTATTAAAATATTTTATTACTATAAAATATTGTTACAATGATAAATAATCTAAGGGATATTGACATAACAGTTTTAAAGTTTTTCAATAAAAAAAAAATAGTTTTATTTAAAAATTAAGTTTTGGTGCGTTTGAAATTGGAACTTTGCAAATTTTATATCTTTGCTTTTGTAACATGTTATCATAATTTCCTGTTTACCATTAAATAAAATTTGTAAAAAAACTTGAAGTTTACAAATTTTCTATATTTTTACTCTAAGTTGACATCTTATTTATATATTTTTTGAATGTTATTTTTTATATATTCAAAGTTTTTCCTTTTTGCCTATTCAAGTGATTTAAAATATAAAAATATATCTTTAAAAGTATTCATATGTTTCTCTCTCTCTCTCTCTCTCTCTCTATATATATATATATATATATATATATATATATATATATATATATATATATATATATATATATATGGAGTTTTATGTTGCTTGGAAAGACAAATATATTTGAAGAAATACTAGTATATATATATTTTTTAATTTTTTAGTGTAAGTATGTATTTTTATGTTTTTTAAATTATAGATAACTTTTTAGAAATACAAATATGTATTTTACCTTTTTGAAGGTATATATATATATATATATATATATATATATATATATATATATATATATATATTACGTTTTTAGAAACATAAATATATTTTAAAAAATAATAATACCTATTTTTATGTGTTTTATAAGTATAATTACATGTTTTCAAAAGTAGTTAGATTTTTTCCCGGTAGACGTGTATCTAATACAAACTTGAAAAACCTCCTGTATAAAAAAATAGAAAAAGCAAAACAACTTTGAATCTAAAACTTTCGAGATTACAAACTTTTAAATAGGTAAAATCATTACAACTCTAATAAAAAAGATTACATAGAAAATCGTTATCTTGAAGAACGAATGAATATTCGACCACTTATCTTAGGGTCAATGTCTGATTGGATTAGAGTTCGACAGTTGTTTTGGAAAACACATTTTGTTGTTTAATTTAGAAGTTATACTTGTAATTGTAGTTATAGACTTATCTGATGGTTTTTTAGCATAACAAACAACAACCTATGTGTGCATGCAATCATAATTTCCCGATCTATGTTTTTTCTAATTGAACATACAACATTCGAACATCAAATGGTAAAACCCTAATTGCACTAGTATAATTTCGAAATCTATAAATAAGATTAACAAAACATACATTGATTGTTATATAGCAATAACAATGAAATCCTAGTCTTCTTGAAACCTTGAGACCAAGCGTCACAAGTGTCACACCTCTAATGGTTCACACCCAAACAAGCAAGAAGATGAGAGAGGAGAGAGGAGAAGAGGCTTGAGAATTTTCGACTATTCCTCTAGGGTGTAACATCCATTAAATTCATGAAAATTTAAAACTTTTTCAAGCATTCAAAAACCATTATTTATTACAAAATGTTTTCAAAATAGTTTCATATCAGAGTATCCCAAAAATCAAATCATAAAAATGCAAGGAGGTGCACGATCATGCCTTCACCTTCCCGCAATCATCCAAAGTACCTGAAACAAAATCCAAAACTATAAGCCCGAAGCTTAGTAAGTTTTCCCAAAATACCAACGCCATACAAATCATAACCATATCATAGCAAATAAACAACATGCATATAGAGTCTAAAGTATGACTGGATTGCCCTCATCGGGCTTTCAGTCTATTTGGCTCACTCTCAGAACCTTCAACATGTCTGGTCCGCCCTCCCGAGCCTTCAGTCTGTCTGGACCGTTCTCTGGGCCTTCGGCATGACTGATATGCCCCATTGGGCCTGTAGTTTATCCGGATCTTATGCTCCCCAAGACTAGCCTCCCTCACCCACATATGTCCCATACAAAACCCTAGCCGTTCTTAAGCATTTTTGGAGCATTTTCTCACTTGTGAAGGTTTTTAGTACATCTTGGGGATTCAAGGGGAGAAAGTAGATCCGGATTTCTGGTTGCATTTCAGTCCCTTTTGAGCCGGGAAGCTACGGAGCAGCAACAACATCAATTTCTGAGTAGCATTTCTTCAGCCAGCTTACAAGGTGAGTTTCCCTCAAGTACGAACGGGTCTACGGCCCATTTAGCTATCAGTAGTTCCGGACTGCGGTCCGATGTATTGGTTCAGTGTACTTGATGTCTTTGTGATTCAAGCAGGTCTTTGTGTTATGTGTTTCGGACTTTGGTCCGATGGAGTATGCAGTATATGTGTTTATGTTAGTAGTTATGATTATGCTATGCTATGTTCAGTCAGTTTCCGGACTTCGGTCTGATGCAGAGGGCAAGGCCATGGTTATTTCCGGACTCCGGTCCGATGCAGTTTCCAGACTTCGGTCCGATCCAGAAGGCAAGGCTCTGGTTAGTTTCCGGACTTCGATCCGATGCAGTTTCCGGACTTCGGTCCTATGTAGTTTTTGGACTTCGGTCCGATGCAATGGGCAAGGCCCAGTATGTGCTTATATGATATTGTATGGTATGTGGTAGTTTGGGGGAGCTCACTAAGCTTCGTGCTTACAGTTTTCAGTTTTGGTTTCAGGTACTTCCGCTAGCAAGGGGAAGAGCTCGAGATGATAGCATGGCACACACCATAGTTACCGTTTTAGCCTGGGAGTCAGACTCTAATATTTTGTCATGATTTGACATTAGTGGTGCTATGAGACATATTTTATGATACTTTGAGACACGTGACTTATGGTTTTTATTATAAGATATTTTGATATTATGGTTTTAGTAATATGTTAAAACAAAATTTTTTGGCTTGTATCTTGGGGACGTTTGATTATATAGGTGAGGTAGCTTAGAGTCAAAGTTATGGTTTTAGGAGGAAACTTTGATCCCTTAGCTTAAGGACCAAACAACCCCAGAATTCCTATCTAAGAGCCCTTGGACAAAAATTCTAGGGTCTTCCTAGAAGTTTTTGTCCAACCTTTATAGGAAGGTTCTGGAGCCTCTTTCCTTAACTATCAATAAATTGACAAACAACCCCTGCACTTTTAATTAATTCAATTAATCCTAAAATTAGTTCCAATTAATTTCTGATTAATTATTAATTAAATAATATGATTTTTAAGTAATATATTATTTCCATAATACATTAATAAATCATTTATTTCAATTTATTAATATATTTTCGAAATCTATAAAATAAGGTTAAGAAAACATACATTGATTGTTATATAGCAATAACAATGAAATCCTAGTGTTCTTGAAACCTTGAGAGCAAGCGTCACAAGTGTCATACCTCTAATGGTTCACACCCAAACAAGCAAGATGATGAGAGGTGAGAGAAGAGAGGAGGCTTGGGAATTTTTGGCTATTCCTTTAGGGTTTTTAGATGCATGGATAAGGCTCCTTATATAGGTGAGGTAACTTAGAGCCAAAGCTAGAGTTTTAGGAGGAAACCCTAATCCCTTAACCTAAGGGTCAAACAGCCCAAGAATTCCCATCCAAGAGCCATTTGACAAAAATTATTGGGCCTTCCTAGAAGTTTTCATCCAACCTTTCTAGAGAGGTTCTAGAGCCTCTTTCTTCAACTGTCAATAAATTGCCAAATAGCCCTTGCATTTTTAATAAATTCAATTAATCCCAATATTAATTCCAATTAATTTCTGATTAATTATTAATTATATAATATGATTTCTAATTAATATATTATTTTCATAGTACATTAATAAATCATTTATTTCAATTTATTAATCAAACAATAAATTCAACCTCTCTCCAAAAGTCATCATGTCTAGTTTCTAGTTATGAGGGCAACCCAAAAGGACTGTGCTACTATCAATTCAAGTATATATCAATTATAGTTAAGAGCTTTGACACCTAATCCAACATAATCCAAATGAGAGACTGTCAGATTAATGTGTCTAAGATCATAACTAAATTGGTATATATTTGAACTGAAAACAAAATCCTTTTTGGGTTGCCCTCATTACTAGTAATTGAGTAGAATGATTTTTGGAGAGAGAGAAAGAGAGAGCGATTGATTTGTTTATTTATTTTATCATTAATAAATAGCAATAAATTGTTTTTTTAATATAGTTAAAATATTAATTAGAAATAGTATTATTTAAATAATAATTAATCCGAAATTAATTGGAATTAATTTTGGGATTAATTGGATTAATTAAAAGTGCAGAAAATCAAGCTGTAATTTTTTAAAATTTGAACAAGAGAAAGATTCTAGAACCCTCTTAAGGTGGCCAGTTTTTCGCCTGTCCATTAGGGTTTCTGCAATGTTCCTTATAAATAATTAAGGGATTGGATAATTACCTAATATGAATATCCTCCTTAATAAATCAAAATCTTTTTGCCACATGTCCTATTCTCCTTCATTTGGACACATGTTATTTTCTAAAATTTAGAATTTATTTATTTTCCAATTGTCATTTTATTGTATCTTTTATTTTATTAAATTAAAATTATACATTTGATATGTAAGGTAATATATATGTAAGGTATTAATTAGAAATCGTTTATATATGTAATGTATTCAATGTAATAAAACATCATTAATTTTCATAATCTATTTTTATCATTTTTCTTATAAATTCAAACTTCTCAAATTGTTAAAATTTAATATTTAATTTTTTTCCCGATAAACCCATGTAATACATGGGTCTCACACTTAGTTAATATTATATTCAAATTAGGATTTTCAGGGTTCCTTGTAATATGAGCTATAAATAGGGCCCATGGGGCTCCCAGTTTCGTTCACTCCTCTTGGCAAGAGA